AATACATTGGGTGGGCACGTGGCCTTGGGAATAGTCAAAAACCCAATCGCCACTAGCCGCAAAAATCGCCTAAATTAAAAACCCAATCGCCACTATTCAGATCTCAACCGCCCACTCAAAATTTTTCATCGTCTTCTTCGCGAAAAACTCTCAAGAGCTCGCAAGAACCCTAGGCCTCACTTTCTCAAATTTTCACCCAAATTTCTGAGAAAATGAAGGTTGTCGGAGCAAATGTTCATTTCCAGAAGTTAGAGGCCAAATGCTCCTCAGCGACATTCTTTCAAAGCTATATGGAGATGATAGGCGCTCAAGAACTCACTGAATTTCTTCAAATGGAAATTCGCCTCAAATTCGAGGAAGAAGTTCTTGAATTCTACAGGAATGGAGAAGTCAAAACTGCTAAATCAAAGAAGGACCCACAAAGGACATTCCCAGTCATCAAATCAACTGTGGGAGGAATCACAGTGAAGCTTTCGCAGAAGAAATTGGGAGAAAAGCTTCACCTCCCCAATTCTGGAGTTGAAGTTGGAAAACTTCCAGTCAAAAATCTGGACTGGAATGTTGTTGGAATTTCTGGACAAATTCCTTCTGGCCAAGCGAAGAAAGCAGATCTAAACAACGATTACAAGTTGGTCTTAGAACTGATCATCGCCTGCCTCGAATGTGGAAGTGGAGGTCATGCAGATGACATCACCCAGGAGATAGCCTTCATCATCAACGCTCTCATTACCAAAACTAAGGTAAACTGGGCTGCACACTTTTTCAATTCCATCTCAAAGCATTTGGGAAAGCCCAATCAGAAGTATCTATGTCAAGGCTTGTATATTGGACATGTTTTGGAATCTATGGGCGCTGCAGTAAAAGGGAAAAAGTATGAAGCCAGGTACTGGCTATACTACTTATCCTCCAAAGGAGAAAACAGAGCCAGTGCTAGTGCCACTGCAGAAGAGAGCTCATCAGATAATGTCCTACTCATTCATATGGCAAAGACTGCCAAGAGAAAGCAAGTGGTGTCCCCCTCTCCAAGCATTGAGGCACCACAGAACCTTACCTTGGCATGTTTGGAAGAAGAAGAAGAAGAAGTCTCTGACCATGGAGAACTTCAAAGGAAGAAAAAGAGAAAGATCAACTCTCCATCTGGAAATGTCAATCCGGATGAGTTGAAGGAGAAGGAAAATGCTGAGGAATCCGCTGCTCAAAACTGGAGTCCTCAACAATTTGAAGAAGAAGAAACTCCTCAAGTCCCAAGCATTCCAACTTCCTCATCTCAGCCTCATATAGATGATGCTGACAACAAATTCTGGCAGCTCTACTATAATTGGAGAGCTTGGAAAGTTGGAAATTCAGAAGAGCAACTGTTGGATTGGGACCAACAGCTGAAGAATGAGAAGATTATCAAGAAGTGCTTAGGTATTCCAGTCAACCACAACTGTGAAGATATTTTGAATGATTACTGGGTATGGCAAAAGAACCCAGAAGACCTGCATATGGAATACCTGGCCAACA